TTTTTTATATAATACCTTATAAATATTAAATTGACACTAGATATTAACATATACATTAGATTTGTCTTTTGAACTATAATCCTCCATGTCTCTTCTTTTAATGAAGGTTAGTGCTTTTATGAAATTATGAATTCTAAATATTGTATAAGTATTATATATTTGCCATATGTTTTAGTTTCACCTATATAATTAGTAATCTTTTTATTTTCTTTTCTTGAGATTGAAATGAAAATTGAATCATAAAATTAAAATTAACGTTTAATAAAGTTTTGTCATTAAATAGTTAATTAGTATTAGACTTTATTAAAGAAAAATAGAGAAAGATATAAAAAATTTTAATTTTAATTTTAATTTTTCAGAAGTTAGGTCCACTTGACTCAATCTGAGACTTGTGTGAGTGGGTTATGAGTCCACCCCTTCAATCTAACACCCGAAATGGCTCAATTCGAAAAACTCAAGATCCAAGACAACTCAATCCAAACTCGCCAAATCCGACCAGTTTGCCATGTCTAATAAAAATTAAAATTATATAAAAATTTATACAAAAATATTGTTTCTATATTATGGTCTTTTTTAATTTGCCTGTTCCCTACTTTGTTGGATGAAGCGGCACAACAGAGGTAGGCTTGGCTTAGGGATTTTTTATTTTCCCGAACATGCCCTTATAGCAAAGCTATTTCAAAAAAAAAAAAATGTGATTCTTGATCAGATATCCTCTATGTTTAATACAATTTCACAAACACGAGTTTGTTGAGGATAAATATTTTGACATGTTGAATTCAACCATACTAATGATTTAGTCGTTCATACATAAAAAATAACTCTTCTATCCTTAAACTTCAAATTTTTTATTCTTTAAATTAAAATTAAAATAATTTAACATCTAACTAAATCATATTCAGACTCACTTTGTTTCCGTCTAACTTCTTTTATCCTTACTTTCGAGTTGGTAGCGACTAATTAAAAACTTTAATTTAATATTAAGATCAAGGTTTCATATTCTTATGATAATAAAATCATAAATAACTAAATCTTAAATGTACCCCAAAAAAAAAAACATAAATCCTTTGTCGTTGTATAAACTAAAAGAATGATGCGAGAAAATAAGGGCAGTATGACAAATCTAGACGTGCTCAAAATGGTGCCTTGCTTGCTTTTCACACCATAGAATAAAAACTGAAGTCAGTAATCTCAGCAATTCCCTTAGCCGCCATGGCACCACCTCCACAGGTTACCGCCATCTGGGTTTGCCCTCGATATGGTGGTGGTGGTGGTGGTGGCTGAGCATCGCTGCCTTCATGGTGGTGGTGGTGGCCGCTGCCATCTGGGTTTGCTGGAGGATGGTAGTATAGGCGCGCCGTGTGCGGGCAGTGAGAGTGAAATCTCGCTGCTATTCTCACCCCTGCATCCAACAACTCCGTGTACCTCCCCATCATAAATCTCTGCTAAAATTGGAAGAGAGAGAAGGAGAGCTGTAGGATATGAAAAAAAGCACAAAAAAATGGGAGAGAATGTGTTGGGGAAGAACACGGTACACCTATATAAGTATATATTTTGCCTTGCCTTTTAATAGGAGCCTAAACGTGTTGGCCTTTTGACTTTGGCAAAAACTACATTAAGCCACTAAGCTAATCTCACATTTTCAGTTAAGCTCATAAACTTTTTTTAAAGCAAATAAGTTGCCAAAGCCTACAATCTGCGCAATTTTGTCATTTTCTTAACGCTAGACTGCAAAGTTAAAGACAAAAAAGACATAAAAGAGGGCAAAATTGTACAAATTGCAGGGTTCAGAATTTATAAGCTTTAAAAAAAAAAATTTCTAAGGGCTTAACATGAGGTTTTGTTGGTTTGCATTTGACTCTCCCATTCATGTCATTCTGTTTTTTTTCTTTTTTGGTTTTTTTTTTTTTTTTACTTTGAGAGTACAAGATAAGATTAGGGAGCATATGTAGCGTTGATGATAAAAACAAAATTAGCCAACGTGATTTTTTTTTTTTTTATAGAAATTTAATGTAAAAAAATTACAATTAATGCTTCCTTTTTGCCCAGATTTCTTTCCTACTTCTATCTGAGCCTTTTTGCCTTATGTACCCATGTCTTTAGTGTAAGGGTTTTTTTTAACATGTGCTCCTAAAATACATATTATTGTATTTTTTATTAGTAATTTACATTAAAAATAAAAATTAATTTTAATTCTATCATTTGTCCAACTAAATCATTTTATGTGGTATTGGTGTTGAATAAAATTTATTTTTATAGTTTTTCATACAGATGAATGATAAAAAGGTACATTAAATGCACTTTAATCTAACACAAAGTAAAAAAATCTCTTAGTACAATTGTAATTTCACCCTTTTACTTATTCATTTGGCATTTTGTTCCCTATAACTTGCCTACATTTCTTGGTGCAAATTTTATCTACATTTTACTACTGAAGATAAAAGAGATTTTTCATGCTTGGAACAGAGTAGATAGAGTACTTTATTTAGGTAAAAAAATATTGTAGTTCACAATGATTATTAACTAAATAATATAGTACTAATTTTCTTCAAACTTATAGCCTTAACTGTGCCAGTAAATGCATCCACAAGTTGTGGCGCTTGCCACATTTTGAGTTGCTGGTTTGACAACCATTTAAATTTCCCTTCTTAAAATTTCGTAGTATTATTCAAAAAGAACATTTATCTTTTCTTTTTTACACATTTGAAGTC